AATCTCCTTGTGTTATTCATATTTCCATTAACCCATACATTTACTAGCAAAGAAACAGAAGATAGAAAGACTGAATAGCAAAAAACATTACAAACCATCCATCTACACATATGAAGCAAAAAACTCATAGGGTTCGAACCTTTTTCTCCTCCTTTAAGGGGACAATCAAGCCAAGCCGTGCAGAGTGGAAATTCCGGAATAATAATATCATGGTGAATATACAAGTTCATATCACGGGTATTGGCATCCTCAAGTATCCAAACCTGCCAAAGCCAACAAAAGTGTGTGATAAATCTAAAAAGTAATAGTAAAAGCTCTTTTTAATTAAATGATTATAACAAGTTAGTCCTATAAACACATTCTTTACAAAAAAAAAAAAAACTCATTATTTACACTAGATTATGGAAATTAAGTACTTAGTTCATCTTAATGTAAGTCTACATGATCTAAAACTACGTCTAAAAACATCAATACACTTAAAACCTTCAAAATTTTGATAACATAAAACTGCATCCAAATTTACACATGCTATCTTGCCCCTCTTCTAGAGGCACATTAGACATTCATGTGCATGCATGTGTTTTTAGTGATTATGCAGAATTAGTAATAACTTCATTTGCATGGAAAAATTGCTTTTCAGGAAAAGTAAAAAACAATATTTTGAGCATTTTGCATATAATATGAGCCTCTAAACGTCATTCATAAAATCACAGGGTATATGTTTCTATACAAACTACTTTTCAGTTTGGGTATCCAAAAGTTTCACAAATGAAGCAATTTTAAAAGAACCCAAGCAGCAACCCCATTGGATAAATTTAAGGCGAACACTCTTGTACCCTTAAATTTAGTTGACTTCGAATCATTCATAGCCTCTGAGATGCCGAGAGACACAAAAGACATACATGTAGAAGGGGTTGATGATGTACATGTAGGATGCGCTAAAAATACTGCTGAAGTCACATAATGTATAGTATAACATAAAACTAACTTACTTCAAGGTAATTGACATCGTCTTCCGTACGCGCGCAAACAACAACAGAATCAGTTGGATTAATAATCATGTCTTCAACATCTTCAGAATCATACTCTTCCTAAACAACATATAAATGATACAGAAATCAGTAAACAAATCAAATTAACCTAAGAATACATTAAAGTGTTTGAATTTATCTCACATTCTTATCTTTGATATATGGATCTAATTCATTACTCTGATAATAAAGATCACCCGTCCCTGAACTGAACAACTCAAAACCTAACATCAATAGAAAAATCAAACATAATTAATTACGCATCCTGACACTACCACGACAACACCGATAATAATTTAAAAAATGAATAAATTAATCGTAATAACAACTGACACAGAAACGCTTCTTTTCAAAGGTGTCGGTGCTATATTAAAAAGACACCTTTATCATCTTCATCATCATAGGTTTCCATGTTGAGCTCTTGCAAGGCGAGGGTAATATCGCCAGTATTTTCCTTGGATGGTTTACCAATTGCATCAGCTACTGTTAAAGCATGTGCAACTTCATCGTCTTCTTCCATATCCTTCTCTTCATCCACACTGCAATAATTTTATACAAGAGAATGTTAATGTTAATGTTAATTATTGATTATTGATGGTGATTGGTTAGTGAAAAGGAACAAACTCACGCGTGTTTGAGATGAGTTCATCGATTTCCTCTTTGGAAGGGGGTTCGGCGAAAACAGGTTCCGCTTTGAAGACTCCTTTAGGAATCCATGAAATTGCGGCGATCATGGCTCTCTGATTCTACCGCAGAGTGAAAGGTAGCGGTGGGTGGCTGGCGGCGGAAAACAAACAGTGTAACCAACAACAAATGAAGTTAAACCCTTTTGATTAATTTTTCATTATTTATTTATCTCGTAAAAAATAGTACATATTTATTTAGACACAATTGTTTAGTGAATATATAACAGTATAACTCTACAGTATAACTCTGAAGCTGTTATATATTTCAACACAGAAGCTGTTATATGTTTTTAACTTCTGCATTGAGTAATAATTAAGTGAATGCGTAAGATAACATGAATGAAAATTATCAAATAAGTTTGAGAGCATGCTTTGTATATGGTAAAGTTTGTTGCATAAAAATGCATATACTACTTACCTGTAAACAGCCAAATTAATAGAAAACTAGTATAATGTTACAAACATAATCTAACTCCAAAAACTAGTAAAAGAAATTTAATTTTGTTTAAATTAAACCCCACCAAGAATCAGCAACATGGATTCAGATTTCAAAATATAACAAAATGAACAGTGCCAATACATGAAGACAATAATACATAACAAAAAGAACAGTGCCAATACATTAAGACAATAATACAAGAACAATCACAACAATATAACAACATGGATTCAGATTTCAAAATATAACAACAAGAACAGTGCCAATAACAAAAATATACAGGCATTGCAGGTTCTAATAGCATACAGTAACAGTAACGAAATACAATTGAAGCTTACAGTATATTCACGACATACAATCGAAGCTTACAGTATATTCACGAAATCGAAATCAAAGTTACAACAGTAGACAAAATCAGAGTCACAACAGTCAAAAAAATTGAAGCTTCGTAGCATATCACAGTAGTAAAAATCAAAGTCCCAACAGTATATTCACGAAATTGAAATCGATGTTACAACAGTAGGCGAAATCAGAGTGACGAGAGTCACAAGATCGAAGCTTCATATGATATAACAGTAGGCAAAATCAAAGTCACAATAGTAACGAAATCGAAGCTTAATAGCATATGTTCACACTAACCTGGAACGAGAGGCGAGAGAGACGGAGCGAACAGCCGAACAGGAACAGGCGAAGCGAGTGAGAGAGACGATATATGCTTCGATTTTTAGTTGAAATGGAACAGCCAAACGAAGAGGACCGGCGAATCGAACAGGAAGAATAATAGTAGCTGCGGTTTCACGGTTTCATTTTCAGGAAAAGCGATATACATACGTATTGATAGTGATATTAGGTTATGAGGCAGTGAGTTGAGATATACGTACTGCAACTTTGATTTCAACTAAATTCGCCGGAGACGGCGGCGGGGGAGGCGGAAGACATAATCGGAACGAGCGATGATTCTAGAAGAAAACTGACTCGGTGAGAATCGGTGGAAAACGAGTGAGTGAGTGAGTGAGTGACTCGGGGAAAGGAATAGAAATAGATAGAGAAAGAGTGAGTGAGAGAAAGAAGAGATGGATAGAGAGATGAGACTGAGTGCGTGGTGGTGAATATAAGAGTTTCAGACGGCAATGAGGTGGAGACCATGTGGGGTGACAAATTTTTACAATTAAATATCTTTTTTCCTTTTTTTTTTCTTTTTTTTTTATTTACAAAAAATATTCACAATTAAGAAAAAGTATAAAAAATAAGTGAAAACAATATTTTTATTATATAAAATAGCAGCAAAAGAAATATTACAAAGAGGGACATTAAAATTAACCGTCTACAGTCGATATTTCATAGATACGTTCACATCTATCAGTGAATTTATACCTGAAAGGATCTTCATTAGGATGAGAAATGTTCCGCAGTTAAATTGAGAAATAAAAAGAACTCTTATATTAATATATTTGTCCAAAAAAGCATTAAGTCTTTAATGTTAATCAAATTTTATTAAAAAATTCTAAAATTTAATTAAAAAATATGAATTTTAAAATTGTATTTCGTGATTAATAAAATGACAAAAATCGTTATATATATTTAAAAGATTAAAAACAAATTTAATTATATAATTAAATATTATTAAATAAAAATTCCAAATTAAAAATAAATATTTAATATAGTTTATTAAAATCAATTGAGTAATTTAATGTTGTTTTAATTTACATAAACATTAAAATACATTCCAAGTTAATAAAAATAAATTTCAAATTCAAATATTATCTTTATTACTTAAAAATTTAATTTCTTAAGGAACTCCACAATACAATTTATTTACCAACAATTTTGTAAATATGAATTGATATACTTAACTGAGTAATGAACAATCATCATAAAAAAAAAACTAATAGTATTAGAATAATCATACAAATAAATTTTTTATTACACATGAAATATTAACGAAAATTAAAAAAGATGTACTACTATATAAAATTAGTTCTCAAAGAAGGGAAACACTCAAAATATGAATACGCAAAAAGGAAAATTGTCTTTGAATGATACTGCTTTATCAAACTATTGCATATTTAAGAGTTGTTATATCACTCAAACTGGGATTAGATTAAAATACATTTATTTAAAGTCAAATAATATTAACAAAATACCATATGAAAAACGAAGATTTGGTTAAATATAGAGAAGTTATATGCTAAGTAGTTGAAGTTGTAGTTGGAGTTGGTTAACTCAAATCTATACATATATGTCAAAGTATTCTATTTATTTGTATATAAATGAGATATTAACGTGGAAATTCAGTATATTTAACTTTGGTCTACAATGTAATAGATAAACCAAATATAATATTTTCTACTAATTCCATGTAGTGTAAGATGCATGCAACATCCAAAATTACTTCAGGATTTTTTTAAAACCGCATCCAAAGTTGCATCGCTCTATTTGAATGCATTGATGTACCTTTCTCGATAGTCACAGTTTGCATTAGAAGATTCATTTTATGAGAGGTTGTTGATATAAAAAAATTCTTGTTCTAGAACAACCACCACCAGCTTTGAATGCGTTCAAAGAATTTAGGGTTTAGGGTTTAGGGTTTAGGGTTTAGGGTTTAGGGTTTAGGGTTTATGGTTTAGGGTTTTAGGGTTTTAGGGTTTATGGTTTAGGGTTTTAGGGTTTATGGTTTAGGGTTTTAGGGTTTTAGGGTTTAGGGTTTAGGGTTTAGGGTTTTAGGGTTTTAGGGTTTAGGGTTTAGGGTTTTAGGGTTTTAGGGTTTTAGGGTTTTAGGGTTTTAGGGTTTATGGTTTTAGGGTTTAGGGTTTAGGGTTTAGGGTTTAGGGTTTTAGGGTTTTGGGTTTTGGGTTTTAGGGTTTAGGGTTTATGGTTTAGGGTTTTAGGGTTTAGGGTTTAGGGTTTAGGGTTTTTAGGGTTTTGGGTTTTAGGGTTTAGGGTTTTGGGTTTTGGGGTTTTAGGGTTTTAGGGTTTTAGGGTTTTTGGGTTTTTATGGTTTTAGGGTTTTAGGGTTTAGGGTTTAGGGTTTAGGGTTTAGGGTTTTAGGGTTTAGGGTTTAGGGTTTTAGGGTTTAGGGTTTTAGGGTTTAGGGTTTAGGGTTTAGGGTTTAGGGTTTATGGTTTAGGGTTTTAGGGTTTAGGGTTTTAGGGTTTAGGGTTTAGGGTTTATGGTTTTAGGGTTTAGGGTTTAGGGTTTTGGGGTTTATGGTTTAGGGTTTAGGGTTTAGGGTTTTGGGTTTTGGGGTTTTAGGGTTTATGGTTTAGGGTTTAGGGTTTAGGGTTTAGGGTTTTAGGGTTTAGGGTTTTAGGGTTTTAGGGTTTAGGGTTTAGGGTTTTAGGGTTTAGGGTTTAGGGTTTAGGGTTTAGGGTTTTGGGGTTTAGGGTTTAGGGTTTAGGGTTTAGGGTTTAGGGTTTTGGGTTTTGGGTTTTGGGGTTTAGGGTTTTTGGGTTTTGGGTTTAGGGTTTAGGGTTTAGGGTTTAGGGTTTAGGGTTTGGGGTTTGGGGTTTGGGGTTTGGGGTTTGGGGTTTCGGGTTTAGGGTTTGGGGTTTGGGGTTTGGGGTTTGGGGTTTCGGGTTTCGGGTTTCGTGTTAGGGTTTAGGGTTTGGGGTTTAGGGTTTAGGGTTTCGGGTTTAGGGTTTAGGGTTTAGGGTTTAGGGTTTAGGGTTTAGGGTTTATGGTTTAGGGTTTAGGGTTTATGGTTTTAGGGTTTTATGGTTTATGGTTTTAGGGTTTTATGGTTTAGGGTTTAGGGTTTAGGGTTTAGGGTTTATGGTTTATGGTTTAGGGTTTAGGGTTTAGGGTTTTAGGGTTTTAGGGTTTAGGGTTTAGGGTTTAGGGTTTAGGGTTTAGGGTTTAGGGTTTAGGGTTTAGGATTTAGGGTTTGGGGTTTTAGGGTTTAGGGTTTTGGGTTTTGGGGTTTTAGGGTTTTAGGGTTTTGGGTTTAGGGTTTTAGGGTTTAGGGTTTAGGGTTTTAGGGTTTAGGGTTTAGGGTTTAGGGTTTTAGGGTTTTAGGGTTTAGGGTTTAGGGTTTAGGGTTTAGGGTTTAGGGTTTTGGGTTTTAGGGTTTAGGGTTTTGGGTTTTAGGGTTTTAGGGTTTTTGGGTTTAGGGTTTAGGGTTTAGGGTTTAGGGTTTATGGTTTATGGTTTATGGTTTATGGTTTAGGGTTTAGGGTTTAAGGTTTATGGTTTAGGGTTTAGGGTTTATGGTTTATGGTTTAGGGTTTAGGGTTTAGGGTTTATGGTTTAGGGTTTAGGGTTTATGGTTTAGGGTTTAGGGTTTATGGTTTTGGGTTTAGGGTTTTGGGTTTAGGGTTTAGGGTTTTGGGTTTAGGGTTTAGGGTTTAGGGTTTAGGGTTTAGGGTTTAGGGTTTAGGGTTTAGGGTTTAGGGTTTAGGGTTTAGGGTTTAGGGTTTAGGGTTTAGGGTTTAGGGTTTAGGGTTTAGGGTTTAGGGTTTAGGGTTTAGGGTTTTAGGGTTTAGGGTTTAGGGTTTAGGGTTTAGGGTTTAGGGTTTAGGGTTTAGGGTTTAGGGTTTAGGGTTTAGGGTTTAGGGTTTAGGGTTTAGGGTTTAGGGTTTAGGGTTTTAGGGTTTAGGGTTTAGGGTTTTGG